AAGAAAGAAAGAAAGAAAGAAAGAAAGAAAGAAAGAAAGAAAGAAAGCTGAACATTTATAAACCCTATGTGGTTATTCATGTTCATAATAAATGGAATAATGTGCATGTTGAGGTCAACCCTATACTTCTTTACAAACCAATATCTATTTGCACAACCAATGCACAGTCCAAAGAGACTGTATTGAAGAAGCTATCTCCATTCATTTTTCTGAATGTCTAAGTTAAAAAAAAACAATGCATTGCTTTTCCACAAGGACTAAAATCAGAATGGCTTCCTCTAATGGCATGTCTTCCCACTACCTCACAGAAACCATTACTTCACTGCTTTTCTTCCTGGAATCTCCCTCAGCATAGTCTGTCTTTCCAAATCAGTGTTTTTAATTATTCATGGTAAGTGTTTCACAGTAGGATTAATGTACCAGCACTCAGCGTCAATTCTCCGACTCCCTAAGGAAACTGTTCTTCATACATTAGACTTCGTTTTTACAGATTATGAAGTGCTTCTGGTTTACTAAACCTGGCTTCTCAACTTTTTGTGATTTTTCTGTTATCGTATTACATAATGAGTAGATGGCCTTAAGGCTGGTTCTAAAGTACATTCATCTTTTTTGACTGGCTTGTTGCAAGGAACTCTGAGGAACACTCGATTCGAGAAATGACTGTTTTGTGAAGCAAAGACTCGTTTTGACGAGGAATTCATCATGTTTTAGACTCTGATTGAAGTTTTGCATTCTGCACACTAGAAACAAAATGTACAACAGCACTGTATATTCACAAAAGAGTGACCTTAACTTAACCCCCCACTTTCTTCCAAGAGTTTCTCCAAAAATGCTGAAATTCTAATTAACTCACCAAGTATGAAAAGAATATTACCTCTCTTTCTGCTCCCTATAGCCCACTTTTTTTTCAATTCTCAAACAAAACATTATTGAAATATACCTTTCAAGTCAGAAACAAGAGTGAGCAGCAAACAATTTAGGTTTTAATTTAAATCAAAACTATATTCCTACTACCAAATTTCTTTCCTTTTTAATTACTAAGGTATGAAAATTCATTCTCCAAACTAGGTTATCAAGAACACTGTTACATGTCTTCTGCAGCAGTATAAAAGTTGGTTGATTTACACTGAACCGCTATGTTGCACAGATTTCAGGTGTAACCAAATGTAATCTGGGGGCTTGATTAGGCTGAAATACTGCTGCTGCTGCTGGACTTGTCACATAGCTATCAGATGGTTCCGGTTTCCTGTCTTTGAATACAGCTACCACTGTCAACCAGAGTGACCTACATATTTTGTGCCAAGATAGCTTGGCTATTTCACACTATGGTACCTATTTCCAAAAAGATCTGTCTCAAAGAGTCAGGAAATAAATTCCCCAACATTCAGGAGGACTGTACAAAAATTATGTTTCTGATATCATCTCAGTAAATGGCTATGGAGAATAAAATTTTATTATCTGATTGTGCAGTAATCCCAAATAAAATGATAAGTCTGTTTGTAGATGAAGGAATCAGGTTAATGATATACCTAGAGAAACATTATATACTGGGGATATAGCTGCTGAACCAGATGTAAGTACATGCATTTCTTACAAGGTTGTCCTTGTGTATCCATTCCTACAGTGCATCAGGCATAATTCTGTGTTACCAGCGTTACTGAAAAGGAATGTGTATGAATTTTGCAGCAAGGACACACATGAACACAAAAATATTTTAGCTCCTATCTCAGAATATTAAAGTAGTTCTGCCAGGAGAAATCATTTACCATGCCACAAAAACACACAGCAGAGAGAAATGGAGGCATCTGGAAACAGCCTGAATCAACCCTCTAGCTCTCTGATAAGCTTTGATACTATGGCACTTAGCTTCATCTAAGCTTCCATGACTCTAGTCATAGCATTTATCTGATAATCTTGTCAAACAGATAAACAATTCACCATGTCAGAATCATGTACTATCAGATACCAAAGCATAAAATGTTGGTTACTTGTTTCAAACAATTAAAATTTGATATGATTTGCTTAGCAGAAGGAAAGTTTAAGCATACATACATTTTATATGGCAGAGGGTGCCTCTTTAATAAAATCCCAAACATTTAAATCTAAGGTACAGACTAGAAAGCTAAAAGGATCTCAGAGAAAGTATTAGTGAAATTCAGAAAATTAGAAATTTTGAAAAATTCAAATTGAAAAGAAATGTTAACCAAATAAAATGGCTCTTTAAATAACATAAATAACTCAAAAGAAACTAAAGAAATGTTGCTGAGAACTGGAGAAAGGGGGATTATTATTATGTTATAGTTTGAGGTTTAGAAACCTTGTCACCTAAAATGAAGTGGTAAGCACAGGATCCACTTAAGGAAAGGAATCATTTAGCTAAAATGTAACATGAGGGGGGCTGGCTTGTTTGTGTTTCTGTCCTGCCTGGTTCCCCCAGCTATTTAGTCCCAGAGAAAAATCACACTGAAATCTCTGTAAGTTATAAAGCTGATTGGCGCATTAGGTCAGGCTACTTATTAGCTAACTCTCACATCTTGATTAACCCATTTTTCTGATATATATTAGCCATGAGGCTCAGTACCTTTTTCAGTGGGGCAGCTCACATCCTGCTGCTTTGGTGATCTGGGAAGGAGTGGGAGAAATCAACTTCCTCCTCCCCAGAATTCTCCTGCTCTCCTTGCATCATTTCCATTTCCTGTCTGGCTTTACCGCCTACACCTTCTGCCTGGCCAATCAGTGTTTTATTTTAAAACATGATTGACAGAATACAGACAATTCTCCCGTACCACTAAAAAAAAAAATAATAATTTCAGGTAGAGTGTGTTGGGGGTGGTTTTCTGGCTTTACATTGTCTATACAGAAATTTAGATCAAAGGTAGAAACTAAAGAAGTAAGGAAAATAAAGTACATCTGCTTTTCTAGGCTTCTCATATTCAAAATAAATCTAATCCCTGCCTCTCCAGAGAATACATAATGCTACCAATAAGAAAACCATTTCTAGAAAAAGACTAATTCCAAGACATTATTAGGCCAACATTGTTACTGTAAAAATCCTTTCTCAAGAACTTGGAAGAATACAAAGTGTCAATCATATATTAGAGGTAGAAAATGCAGACTATTGCTCTCTCTTAATGGGAGAATATCTGGTGCCTCTTAGCAGCCATACAGGGGGTATAAGACAGAGCTTATTGTAACAAGATTTATTAATCAGTGAGACTTTTATCAAGTGTACAATCTCCCAATTAAAAAAAAATAAGAACCCACAGTGTTTTTAAAATGAATTGTATTTGAATTAAAAGTAGGAGAGATAATAGAAAAGTAAAAGGTGGCTATAGACTTTGAAATTGTTATGGGCTATAAAAGACTGAAGAACTATTCAATTACAAGATAGAGTCTTTTACAACAAAGCAGAAAGGATGGCTGTGGGGGTGAAATCGGCACCTTGCACAGTAGAAGTTTAAGAATGAAGAGTTCCAAAGTAGTAGAGTTTGGTTTTAAGATTTGGCAAGACGTCCACACATGCATTTCAAGAATGTTTGAGGAAAAGTGTTCTGGTGTCCCATTATCCACTACTGTTTGAAGGAGAGGCTCCTGGAAATCTAAGTCATTTTAAAATACTAGAAATGCTTAGGCTAGATGGGCAATACAACCTTATCATGGCTAAAGAAAAAAGAAGAAATATCAAAATGGATGGCAAGAGAGGAGATTCAAGAGATAATGGTTATAAGAAGAGTTGTGGGGTTAAATATGTTTAAAATACATTGTATAGAATGTCCAAAAATTGATGAAAATGTTTTAAAATGATTGGCATATGATTTCTATCAGTGAGGAAAGAAAAGCGTAAAAGGTTTTGATAGAGCTCAATCAAGAAGTAAACAAAAAGACAATCATACCTATAGATAGCTGTAGGCAGAGGCTGCTCTTTTGTTCCTGGCCACTCAAACCCAAAATAATCACAAAGAAATTAATTTAAACACTGCTTGGCTTATTAGCTCAGGCCCATTCCTATTATTTTCTATTTACCATGAGGCTCATGGTTTACTGGGTAAGGTCCAAGGTATCTGTCTCCTTTGGCAGCTACATGGTATCTCTTTGACTCCACTTATTCTCTCTCTCTCTCTCTCTCTCTCTCTCTCTCTCTCTCTATATATATATATATATATATATATATATATATATATATATATATATATCAGTCTGGATATATTCTGCCCTGCTATAGACCAAATCAGCTTTATTCATTAACCAGTAAAAGCAACACATATACAGAAGGACATTCTACATCAGACATCCCTCAAAAATATACTGATCCAAGAAAGGTAAAAAAAAGTGAAATTTTCCATCAGATGGGTGGAACTGAAAAAAATACAAAAATGCATTCATGCAAGGCCCAAAAGATAAACACCACATGTTCTCTCTTATATGATTGTACTAGCTTTAAATCTTTTACGTTTCAAATATAGTTCAATTGGAAACTAACAAACGAGAATTGAGCTGTTGGTAAGCAAGATATATTCAGGGAGAAGATATTAGAATTATGTGAAATGAAAGTGGAGCAGGGAAGCACTGTGGGCGGAAGAGTTCAAGCATGTAGTAAGGTGATAGGAAAATAAAGGGCCAAGTAAAATCTGAAACAAAATTAAGTGTACAAGAATATGCTACTTGGAAGTCTGTGATCTTGAAATCTGAGTAAAACTATAATAAGAATGTATAAATAAACATATTTGATATGGAAGAATAGGAGAATACCAAGAGCTAAGTGTAAATGGGAATAGGAAAATGGGGGAAGGATAGGTAGGAAGTTGGTTGACCAAAACTAAGACAGTATGTAGCAGTCTTATGAGATACCATTTGCTTTTAAGCTAATAAAATAAATTTTGAAAAGGAGTTTGAATAGAATTACCCCA